TCTCTAACATACAGAACAGACTGAGGAGGACAAGAGTCTCAAAGACCAGCAGGAGGAACTGATAAAGATTGCCTTTCATTACTGGCGGAATTCAGAAAGTGCAAATATATCTCTGAAACATTTTTGGTAGTTTGGCTGCTTTGTGGAAATATGTTGTCTTATATCAAGAGCAGGAAGTATGTGGTTTTCCACATGTTGAATTTCCAATTGCTGTCACCATCTGCTGATTGAGCCAGTATTGAGCCATATAAACATATATCAGCAGCTTCATCTGAGAGACTCCAAGTTCTGGTTTATACTGTATATTTGATTCATAATGTGTATTAAAGCATAACTAGATGCATGGAAGAAGGATCTTCTCATTTTTCAGAGCACCAGCAATTAATGACTAAAATGCTCTTCTTATTTCCTGCAGCTGAAGTATAGTAGATCAATCACATATGAAGTTATTGTGGAGTTATTTCCATCCTTTAAATGAAGATTTAATAGTAGATATTTGTGATAGTTAGAACTTAACATTAATATTTTACTTCACATTTACAATCCCTATCTGGAGACACACTTACAAATATATACTAGTTGTCGGATAAATAGATGTTGCTTTCCTGAAACAGAGAACTCAAAATGAAGGAGTAAAACCATTTCCGCATTTTCCTGTTATTCCCCCCACCCATGTTGCCATCGTGGAAACAATCTTCATTTATGAAATGGGAAGTGGGGAGGGGGAATAACCAGCGAAAATGGGTGATATGATTTTCCTCCTTCAACCCCCCCCCCCCCAATAAAATGGACTTTCTCCATCTAGTGCCCCTTTTTGGCCTCTGCCCAGATAATGGAACAGTACCCATCATACTATTTTCCTGTAAGATAATAAAAGGATTGTTGAAAATTTAATGCACCGTGAAAGTAAATATAGTAATCTGCTTTTTGGTTTAAAATAATTACCAATATAGAATAGAAAATTATGTGATTGGAAAATGTGATTTACAATGTCATAGTAACCAAACTGCTGTAATTTCCCTTACTGTATAACTTCCTTTGGTGCTGTAAAAGTAGAGATTCTGCTATTGCTAATTGATATAGTCGGTGAGCATATCTCTTTTCCCTAAAAGGGCAAATGTGTGATGCGATCTACATAAGATACAGAACGTAAGTAAAATTTGCATGTAATTATCCTGATATCAGAGGATGCAATTGATTGGATTTTTCTACCTTTTTTGTATTTGTAATCTGTGAAATCAGTAAATACCCATTTATGAACATGGAAAATTATTTTTCAGAAATAATACTTGTGTAATGATGCAAAAACAGGAGTAAAGAGATAGTAGTTGGTTGCCATAGCTATTTTAAGATTATAACTAGCAACAGTCTGGATTCTTTTCTTTTCTAGCAAAATGCCAAGTAAAAAATAATACCTAAAATGGTGTGTGTGGCGGGTCACAAAACGGGCCTCAAAAAGAATTCTGCCTCCTCCCACACAAATAAATATTACAAATTACAAAGAAGAATGTACTACTTTGTTATCTACCCTTACATTATTTGTGAAATGAATATTCCTTTATTATCATTACCTGCAAAAGTAAAACCGTTTTGTATAATGGTGGCTGTTTGTAATACAACTTGAGCTCTATCAAATCAAATACACACCACAAGCCAAGTATTGTAATTGTCACTTCTTACTAGTTTTACCCTGGGATTGAAAAGAAGTATTATGGGTTCACAATAGACTGCCATGTGTGATGTAATGGGTCAGAAACTGTACATGCCTTAACTTTGTAAAGTTAGTTAGCAGACAAGTTATTGTGTTGTGAAAATATGATTTTTTCCTACCATTTCCCTAAATAGATTATGTCTTATATAGACATTATATTTGGATGTATTAGTATTTGAAAGTGGGCCAGGTTTATATCTTTGTGTTAATTTCCAACATTCGGAAACCTCTGGTAATTGTTGACTGTCTAATAGCAAAATGAGTAAAACTGTCTGTAAGCACTCATTGCCCCAGAGAAAATGATTTCATTGGAGTGTGGTCTTGGTCCATTCATGCTTTGTTGTTCTGGTACACATGGAGTTGTGAGCTTTGTAGTTTGTAATTTTGCTATCTGAGAACATATTAGAGCAAAACATTTAAACATTGAATGTTTAATAACCTTGAATAACATGGGAAAGCAACTTCAATCATAGTAGCTTTATTTAAAAACACATGTACCCCCTCCTTCAGAAATGTTTTGTAAAACAAGTAACAGTGAAATCAGGTGATTTTTTTTTTTTAAAATGAGCCCATTGTGCCTTCCTTGCCTGAACCGGACAAAGAAAAGCCGTCCTCCCTTCTTCCTCACCTTTTTTAGTTCAAGTGGCATTCAGGGAGCCTGAAGAATGCTGTGTAAGCTTCCCTACAAAACAAACAAGCAAAAAAAAAACAAAAAACCAGCCAAATCTTGCAAGGCTTATACAGAACAGGAAGCTTCTATTTATAATAGCAGCTATTTTTCCCATCCACTTCAAATGCCCAAAATGGCAGCTGCATTGCATTCTTTGGGTTCCCCTGTATTGCTCCACAACACTGACAGGGCGAAGAGTTACCTTTCTTTCTCTGGTTTGGGCAAGGAGTGGGATAATGGGGTGAGTACTATGTTCCTAAGGCCAGCAATGTCAAGACACGCTTACTTCCTCTCTCTCTTGTTGCTGCCTCCATGGTGGGTCCCTAACAGAAGGAAGTAACTTTCCTGCCCCCCCCCCACTTTTTTTCAGGCCACATTGTAATTACACAGGACACCTAGAGACATCATTTTCAGTTTCTTTGTCCATCATCAACCCATAGATAAGTCAACCATGGTTTTTGGAGTCAATATGTTTTAGATTTATACATAAAATGATAATAGCAAGAAGAGGCAAAAGTGAATGTTGGATATTGGGTGTGGGGAAAGGCTCACATCAACAGCAATAAAAGGGAGGTAATAAGTCCGACTGATGCTGTGCTGTAATAGATAAGAAACTGAGCACAAAACAAGAATGTGGCTTTGTGACCTGAGAAACCAGAACTATTTTCAATTGTATTAACGGAAGCATTGTTTCTAAGATTCAGGAAATAAGGGCGGTGCTGTGTTCAGCTGTGGTAAGAATCTGGGCATAGATTCAGTTCTGGTCACAAAAATTAAGGAAGGTTTTTTCTCTCTCCTAGAAATGAGGAGATGATACATTTCAGAAAACTGACAGGATGGAAAGAAGGAAGAAGTAGACCCATTGTGTTTCAAAGGAATAAAATGGTAGTATATTGCCATTTTAAAACATCGTAAAAGGCTGAAATGTAATCAGCTGGTTGATGCTTTTTAATGGCGTAATATGGTTCTGAAAAAAATAAACTTGAATTTTTGAGATATTAGTTCTTGGAGATTTAAGTTTATAAAACAATACGTGAAGTAATTTTAAAAGTAAAATAGGTTTTAAAATATTATGTCTTTCTGTTAATATAGTAAATATAGCAGAGGAATATAAGGATCATTTGATAATTTTTAAAGTTTTTAAGGATTTTAACTGTTTACTTTGTAATACCATTAATATTTAATTCTATTTTAATGTTTGTATATTGTTAAGTTTAAAATTGTATTTCATTTGGTTTTACTATAAGCCGCTTTGAGTCTCTTGTGTAACTGAGAAAGCAGGGTATACATAATAATAATAATAATAATAATAATAACAACAACAACAACAACAATAATAATAATTTGCTAAATACAACCAGTTTAAAGTCAGTGTGTTGGTATCCTAAAGGTTGGACTTCTGCAATGAGTTATATGTTGGGCTACCTTTTTACCAAGTTCAGAAACTTCAGACTTACAGGAACATCTAGGAGTGGGCATAGTAAAGTCACTCCGCTGGTTGCCAATTAGTTTCCAGGCAAAGTTTTTATCTTTAAAGCCCTATGTGGTTTTGATCCTGGTTATCTACAAGATTGCCTTCTCCTATTTAATCTGCCCTTTAGGACAAATAAGTCCTTTTGGGGGCAGCTATTCCAACCAGAACCCAAATAACCAACACCCAGAGGATCTTCTTATCAGCTGCCCCAGGACTGTGGAATCACCTGCTGGAAGAGATTCTATGGTTAAATCAGCTGTCAGAATTCAAGATACAACTAAAGACCTATCTCTTCATGATGCCACTTTGTTGTGTGTATTTTGATATATGCATTTTAGTGGTGTTGTATTTGTTATCTGTTTTAATCATGTTGTACTCTGTCTCAAGCCATAGGAAGAGGCAGGTAATAAATATAAACCGTAGTTATTGTTGTAGTAGTAAAGAACATTCAACTATTCATTTATTTTGAGAGGATTTTTTTTTTCAATACAACCATACGTATGTCTTCTGCAGTCAAAATTATGGCCTATATCAAAAAGAGACATGGACACATGCTTTTCTATTTCTAGAATCATAAGGTACTTTTGCTCTTTTAATATTCTAGCTCAAGAGAGGTGAATGTTACTAGATAGGCTATTTGCAACGATGAACTAAGGTTTATTGATAATGTGGCCTGGGACTAAATGTGTTTCTCTTTATCTGATCTCCCTTACTGAATATTTAAAAGTATCTTCATTTATGAATATGATTAAAAGAACAATACTTGCAATATTGCTGCCAGCAGCTTTTAAGAGCTTTTTCTGAGCCATACTACTCATTATCAGTTCTGTTGCTAATGCCTCTGCAAATAAGATTTTTGCTTAAGTCTAGTATTTGATGATTGCAGGCATTCTGCTGGAAGAAAAGGAATGAGCCTAACACTATATATATTTTGAAAAGAACAGAGAACAAAAATACAGTAGGAACAATCCCAATACTGTACAAATCCATTGTGTTTATATCTTATATAAACTTGTAACAGGAAGTTTAATTTCACTTTCAAAGATGCATGAATTAAAAAACAACATTCTCCCACTTTTGTCAACTGTCTGGAATTAAACATTGGCACAAAAAATGAACTTGCCTGTTTTTGTTTTCTGGTTTAGCTGCCCAAAGTGAAGAGACAACATGTGCTTTTCGGGATGTTTACCAAAATGACCATGGGATTAGTGAAAGTCGAATTTCTCAGGAGAATGGTACCATCTTGTGCATGAAAGGCAGTACTTGCTATGGCCTTTGGGAGAAAACACGAGAAGGAGAAATACATCTTGTGAAACAAGGTATTTTTCTTAGCAATGACACTATTTCTTAAAACTGTTGTGATTTTAATTTTGGTTTTGTCATTTTCCTTAACTTAATAGATAAATAACAATTTTCTTAAAGTCCTGATCACTTTTTTGATTTTCATAGTGACACATACACTAGTTTTGATTGAGTATAAGAAGATTTTGAGATCATACATTCATTTGTCATTTGGAAACATTTGGATTGTTCCAAATCTAGACAAACTGGAATGATTTCTATGAAAGATGAAGCAAACTTCCACCCAAAATGGTAGGTTTAAGTTAAGTCTCTGGAGGAAATAGTTTTCTCTTTAAAGAGAAAGAGCTTGGGAAAGCTTCTTTTTTAGGACTACAGTTCCAAGAACCCTCTCTGCAGGATGGTCAATTATTTTGTTACTTTGCTACAGACTATACTAAAAACAATAATAGCATTGGCTAAGAACAGTGCATCTACTCTGAATGAGTACTTGGAGGAGATAATATGCAGGGTAAGGAAAAACAAACTGAAAATGAATCCAGACAAAACAGGGGTGCTTACAGTTAAGTGTCTCAACTTGAGCTTGGAGGTATGTCAACCAATCCTGGATAAAGTTACACTCCTCTTGAAAGACTATGTTTATATCTTAGGTGTGAACTTGTATACATCCCTCCTAATGGCAGTCAAGTTAGATGTCACAGTCAGGGGATTTATTATCAACTTTGATTGTTATGCACGTGGTACACTTTCTAGAATTGGAGGACCCAAAGATAGTAGTGGATACTCTGGTAACCTCAAGGTTGAACCTCTGCTATGTGGTGTACATTAGGCTACATCTGTACCCAGTTTGGAAATTTCAGTTCAAAGCATGGTAGCCAGGCGGATTACTGGAGCATCTAAGAGTGACAATATTACACCCATATTCAAATTACTCCATTGGCTACCAATTAATTTCCAGGCAAATTGCAAAATGTTGGTTTTTACCTTTAAAGCCAGGCTAAGTGCAGGATTGCCTTCTCCCATATAATTCACCATGTACACTCAGGCCTTCTGGGAGACATTTACTTCAGTCAGCCATTACTGTTCTTCAGATGAAATTTATATGGATGCCCCTAGACACTGTAATGGCCTCCAGGAAGAGATTTGTCAATCAGAGACACTATATGAGTTTAAATCAGCAGTCAAAGCCAGTTCCTTTTACCAGACTTATCCAAATTATTTTTAAATTATGGTTTAAAAATATTTATTGATAGTTTATAATACATATTTGGTTTTACATGTATTTTAACTGACAAGTCAAGTTGCTCCTGACACACACACACACAATTATGTGATATTTGTTGTTGTTCCCTGTCTCAATCCACAGGTGAGTAAGAGGATGATGATGATGATTCTATAGAATTAAAAGCAATTTTAAAGGATGTCAATTAAAAAAAAACAAATAGAGGCAATACAGCACATCATGAAATATCTTCATTATACTGTGTTTCAAACTGTGTTTAGGCTTTACATTGTGGCCAGGGCCTAGCTGAGAGAGAGATAGG